GGACTTCCGTTGCCCAGCCCACACATACACGCAGGCACGCACAAAACTTCGCATTCTTGACTGCTTGCCTTGAACCTGCGTGCGCATGGGGTTTGTCGTTCGGTGTTGTGCCTTTTGTCACATGGAGTGCCTGCGTATAAGGCCGCGTGCCAAGGCGGCATTGTGCCTTTTAACTCATGTTTATGCCTTAAGAAGCCTCCCAAGAAGCATCGCTTGCTCTTCTCGAGTCGGCTTGGCCGGTGCGCGCGTGTTGGCCAGGATGTGGCGGGGGGGCGGGACTCATGCGATTTTCACGACCCACGTCAACGGCCTTGTTGGCCCTTGAAGTGAGTGGGAGGTTTCCTGCAGCCCTTTAGAGGCGTTAGCCTTTGAAGCAGACAGTTCCGTGTGACCTCTCCGGGTCATCGTGAAGGGTTTTGCACTCGCGGCCCGGGATGGGCCCACTTTGGCACCGGAACTGGACTTTGAGCCAGTCACATCGGGGAATTTGGCAGTACTGAACTTAAGGGGCCCCGACACCGCTGGCTATCCCTTCCCCCCCGCCCTTCCCTCTTCCCCCCCCCTGGCGCCCAAGGAAGATCCGAAGCCCGTCACTCAAGCCACATCTCGGCGTGCCCGCGGAAAGCATTTTCAGGCCGTAGGCCCAGCAGCTAAACGACATGAAGGCTGCTGTCTCAAGGGAATGGCGTAGCTTGTTCATGTTTGTTTTCAACGCGGCTAGAGGAGTCCAGCCCAGAGCATGTGCACATAGTGATGTGCGAGGTGACACAAATTAAGAAGCCTGGCTGAGGCAGCCGGCATAAGCGCATTTTGATAAGAGAGGTGACACAAATTAAGCAGGCAGGCCGTATCAATGAAGGGCAAACGGGGCCGCTGGAATTTGAAAGCAATGTAGGTTGGCTAATATCTCGAAGGCTCACAAGTTGCCAACGGGTCAGGGTTCACGGTTTAGGGTTTAGGGTTTAGGCGTGCCACCCAACAAAGGTGCAACAAGCCCGCGTGTCCCTTGGGAAAACAGCCTTCGGATGAAAGGACCAGCCTTAATTTAGATGGGCTTGTAGCCGCGCGCCAAAAGCGCATGCTCTTCCTATCTGGCTCATTTGCCAATTTGTTTCGCAATAGGTTGGATGCACAGAAGGACGAGGACGGGCCATGTGGTCTGGGGCTGTCGGCAGTTGGGTCCTCGGAGCCCTGGGAGGCCGTGTTGAGAGGTTGGATATGAGAGGCCAGAGTTGACGGGTGGCGTGCGCTGTCGGTCGGTGGCCGATGAAAGGTGCATGTTGCTGACGCAAATTCATGGACGATGGTCTCGGTCCCTCTGATCGCCACGAATCAAATCCGTGCCCCGGCAAAACTCCCGACGCCTACGAGTAGTAAGCAGTCCCCACCCACATACATTGGCGGGACTTCCGTTGCCCAGCCCACACATACACGCAGGCACGCACAAAACTTCGCATTCTTGACTGCTTGCCTTGAACCTGCGTGCGCATGGGGTTTGTCGTTCGGTGTTGTGCCTTTTGTCACATGGAGTGCCTGCGTATAAGGCCGCGTGCCAAGGCGGCATTGTGCCTTTTAACTCATGTTTATGCCTTAAGAAGCCTCCCAAGAAGCATCGCTTGCTCTTCTCGAGTCGGCTTGGCCGGTGCGCGCGTGTTGGCCAGGATGTGGCGGGGGGGCGGGACTCATGCGATTTTCACGACCCACGTCAACGGCCTTGTTGGCCCTTGAAGTGAGTGGGAGGTTTCCTGCAGCCCTTTAGAGGCGTTAGCCTTTGAAGCAGACAGTTCCGTGTGACCTCTCCGGGTCATCGTGAAGGGTTTTGCACTCGCGGCCCGGGATGGGCCCACTTTGGCACGGGATCTGGACTCTTTCAGCTCCTTGCTGTGTAACGCGCAGATTGCGGGCGCGGCAGTACCCGTCCTCCTACCTTTAAGCCAGTCACATCGGGGAAGTTGCCCGTACTTAAGTACAGTCACCGCTGGCTATCCTCGCGCCCAAGGAAGATCCGAAACGCGACAGATGAGCCGCGGAAAGGAAGCCCGTCACTCAAGCCACATCTCGACGTGCGGTGGAAAGTACTTTCAGGCCGTAGGCCCCTGCTGTCTCAAGGGAACGGCGCAGCTTGTTCATGTTTGTTTTCAACGCGGCTAGAGGAGTCCAGCCCAGAGCATGTGCACATAATGATGTGCGAGGTGACACAAATTAAGAAGCCTGTCTGAGGCAAGCGTACTTGAAGAAGTAGGCCAGGCAGGCCGTAGCACGGAAAGGCAAATGGGGCTGCTGGAGTCTGAAAGCAATCTCACAACATGATTCTACATTCGCGAGCTCGCTGCGTGTCTATCAGCTGGCGATCAGGGTTTGGAGGTGCCACAGGCACCTGCCTGGCAAAAGCCATCATGAAGATTGTGCCCGAACAGAATCAGTAGTCACATAGGAGTTCTGTATGCAGCGAGCTTGGCACACCAGCTGCCAGTGTGTTCGACAATTTGATCCGCAGACTGCAGAAAGAAGTCGAAGATGCATACAAGAATCGGTGAAGGCCGAAAAGGCCCGGATGGCGCTGTGCGTGTACCAGCACAGAATCGAAGGCACAGGGTTTAGGGCTTATAGGGGTTTGGGGTTTAGGGTGCCTGTGGGGCAACTGTGAATGCTAGCAGTTTTTGTTTGCAAGCTGTTGAAGCGGATGCAAGTGCATGCAATTCCTGTGGTTAAGTCACCCACGCCGTGGGCAAGCTGTACCATTTAGCTGGGCGGGGCTTCGTGATCTAGCGACCTGCGTTGCTCAGCTTGGTGCCGGAAAGGCAGGGCCCCTACGAGGCATGTCCTCTTCATGTGCTAGAAGTTCAAGACGAGCACCTGAACGAGCTCTTGAGTTCCCAAAGCTTGCACTATGTTTGAAAATGGTCCTCCACCCGTAGAAGCACTTAATCGTTCAAGGCACCTGCTCAGTCAGTGACGTTGAAAGGACGCACTTGCGCGCACAGACGATGCACCTGGCCTGCTTTGCTTTGTCTGGCTCCGGCGTGGAAGTCCCTGCAGCCTACTCCGCTTCTGAGGGCGGCGCGAAGAAGGCTGCAGCTTCTTTCTGCAGCTGGCGCCGCCCTTAGAAGTAGGTGCGTGTTGTTCCGGGTGTTTTCTTTCCCCAGGCCTCCCTCAGAAGTAGGAGCAGGCTGTCTCTCCCTGACCAGCAGAAAGGGCTTGTGCGCGTGTGGGTTGGTACTTTGCTAAGCTTGCTGAAGGCAAGATCGCATGCAGGGCACTCTGCGCTGCGTCTGGTGGTGCGGGAATCAACCTGTGATGCATCGTACATCGGCGCGACCATTGTCAGTACAGGTGTGAGGCTTCGAAACCCAGTCTCCGCCGCAGGGGGAGATGTGCTTCGGGCTCACATTTAGGCCTGCGGGCCCCTGATGTGCCAGACAATCCAGTGTTGTGTATAGCACTACTCCTGCGAGTGCTTTCAGGTCTCATCATGGCTCCTGCTGGTGTTTTCCAGGCCTGAAGGCCGATCTTACATGCGTGGCTTTTCCTAGCATGGCTTCTACCTGGTCTGCTGATGTCAGATCTTGCCGTTCAACAGGATGTCATGTAATCGCAGTGTGCGTTTGGCTCACAAGCCCAGAGGCGAGCATGGAAAGGTGGTTTGTGCATCTTTGTACAGCAAGGGCATCGTCGCCCTTGCATACTTCAGGGGCGTTCCTCCACAGGGCATTGAGATCCCTCAGACTGCCTTGGACTCTTCCGTCTCCAACTAAGTCTCGGTCCCCGCCACCCTGGTGGCAAGATGCCAGCCATTCTCGACACAAGCCCTCACCTGACTGACCTGCTGCAGCAATTCGACGTACTCTCGCGCGGGGCAGTGAACGTATAGGCGGTGGTTATCGATGCTATTCGTGATAACCAGGGGTGGAGCCATCCATGATTCATGCCTGGTAGCTGCAAGTCCACATGGCCACTAAGTATTTCTACGTGGGCAAGACGCGCGGAGCTAAGCCTTGTCCGACGGGCGCCATCTGAACCCAGCAGCTTCAGCGTGCAGCGCGCGCGCAAGCATGCATCTGGTTTGCTCTGCCAACCCAAAGCGCCGTTTTCTGGCGTGCTTTATTGTGTCTCAGCGCGCTGGCAAAGCGCCCCACCAAAGAAGAATCGCGAGGGCATGCTTTGAACATATCCTGCGCATGCTGGTACACAGTGGCCAAAAGCAGGTGCGAACGTTATATTTGTGGCTTCTGGTATGTTCCGTAGTCTTCGTTCATTTATGCAGGGAAAATTCGGGGATATTGTTGGGAAACCACTGGGCTAGATTTCTTGATTGGCTTTGAATTGCCTGTTGTTGTCCGAGCTCCAGACCCTGAACCCCACCCTGAACCCTAAACCCCAGAAACCCGAAACCCGAAACCCTAAACCCTAAACCCTAAACCCTAAACCCTAAACCCTTGGATTTTTGAGGGGTTCCATGAGGTTTGGCAGTCTGGGTTATGGTTTCGCAAGGCCCAAGAAGAGCCAAAGTTGGCTTAGGCTGCTGTGCGAGAAGCTGCCTCAACCCCACTAAAAAAGCCATGAACCTTAAATCAGGGTTCAGGATTATGTAGGGTTTAGGGTTAGGGTTTAGGGTTTAGGGTTTAGGGTTTAGGGTTTAGGGTTTAGGGTTTAGGGTTTAGGGTTTAGGTTTAGGGTTTAGGGTTTAGGGTTTAGGGTTTAGGGTTTGGGCCTAAACCCTGGTGGTCTCTGATGCTCGCTGGCTCAAGAAAGGTGGGGCCCACCCAATGCGTGCTTGGCGTTTCCAGGAGCCAATAAGGACTTAGCCCCAGAGACTCCAAAAACATCCTTATCTAAGGAAAAACCGAAAATCTTTGAGGGTTAAGATGATAATTTAGGGGGACATTCCTTAGTTAAGGGGTTTTGGAGTCTCTGGGGCCTTCCCCGGCGTTCATCCTTAGGCACGTGTCAGGCGTCAGGCAGGGTTACGGCAGGCTGGGCACGCATCGTGCACTGGTACCATGGCCAGGGGCCCGGACCCGTTTGAGCAGTTCTGATGTTTTGTTTTGTTATTATTCTTTTCTTTCTGGGGTGTTGGATTGGATTATACATATACTTTTTCGTTATAAGTGTCTTGCAGCTTGCATCTTTGACTGTGGATGCAGATATGGCGCGCATCGTTTTGGATCGAGCGTTTCATGCCTGAGGTCAAGAGCTCTCCAGCGGCCAAAGACACGAAGACCACATCTGGCAAGCAGATCTACGAGTCGATCGTGTCGAGGATGAGGCTGCCAGTGGGTTTAGGGTTTAGAGTTTGTGCCACCTCATGAATTGCAGATCCCAAACTATCAAAACCGAAGCCTTTCCGGTTTTGTGGAGATGCGTGTTCAAGAAATGTGAAACTCCTTTTGCTTTGCCAGCCAGGTCTGGGGACGTGACGATGACCACTGTTCCGCTCAAGGGTGCCCCAACAAAGCCGTCTGCAGCGGCGAAAACGAGCGCCTGAGCATGAAGATACGATATGCGCTGCCCTGGTTTGAATTACGGCTTCTGCGGGTTTGAAAATGATCGACTCAGTGACAAGCCCACATTGTTGTCCTTATGGTAACCAGAAGCCCTACACTCATCCCAAAAGGCCCTCATTTGTTTTTGTTGGGTGGGTTTAGGTTCCCTTATCAGTTCCCTTAATTAACCAGAACAGGGCACCCTTTCTGTTCCTAAACCCTAAACCCTAAACCCTAAACCCTAAACCCTAAACCCTAAACCCTAAACCCTAAACTTATAAACCCTAAACCCTAAACCCTAAACCCTAAACCCTAAACCCTAAACCCTAAACCCTAAACCCTAAACCCTAAACCCTAAACCCTAAACCCTAAACCCTAAACCCTAGCCAACCCAAGGCCCGAACTCTTCGGTCTGCCCAGGCAAGGTGTCTGAGCCGAAGCGTGTCTCCGGGAGCCAGTGCCCTCTAAGGCTGGTTTAGGGTTTAGGGTTTAGGGTTTAGGGTTTAGGGTTTAGGGTTTAGGGTTTAGGGTTTAGGGTTTGGGCTTTCTGGTTCTTCTTGTGCATCTGGGAAGTAGGGTTTAGGGTTTAGGGGTTTGAGGGGTTTTTGGGTGTAGGGTTCAGGGTTTAGGGTGTACGGTTTAGAGCCCAACACTCATACAAGTACGAAGAACGCCTTCAAGTCCGGGTTGAAACCTAGCAGGTTGGGGATTTGGAGGGTTTTAGTGTTTCGGGCCCTGACCCCGGACCCTAAACCCTAGGCTTTTGAAAGCCACGAAAGCCAGGGGCTGTATCAGTTTCAGTACGCCCCAATATCAAAAACAAAAAGAGCCGTATGAAACCCCAAAACGCTAAACCCTAAACCCTAAACCCTAAACCCTAAACCCTAAAAGTTTAAACCCTAAGTTTAGGGTTAAGGCTGTTTAAGGGTTAGAAGCCCTAAACCCCACACGCTTCAACCCGGAAGGGGGGCGTAGTCCACAAGGCTATAAAAGGAATCAGTGTTCTTTAGGCCGGTTTAGGGTTTAGGGTTTAGGGTTTAGGGTTTAGGGTTTAGGGTTTAGAGCTTTCTGGCCCCAAACCCTATAAAGCCCTAGAAACCCCAAGCCCTAAACCCCATCAAGCCCTGTAAGCCCTAAGCCGTAAATGCTGTAAATCCCAAAAAACCCTATGCCCCAAATGTTATAAATCCCTTTAAACCCGAAGCCCTCAACCCTATAACTCCCAACTACGGAATTAATGCCCGAGACCGTTGACTACCCCGAAGCCGTGCACCGTGTCAACACCCGAAGCCCCAGATTCGGAACTCCAAACCTTACTATAGGGTTCATGGTTTAGGGTTCAGGGTTAGGGTTTAGGGTTTACGGTTTAGGGTTTAGGGTTTAGGGCTCAGGGCTCAGGGCTCAGGGTTCTTTTTGGGTCTAGAGTGCCCTAGACCTCGAACCCCTGATCCCTGCCCCGCAGCGACGGCCAGGTGGCTTGGCGCATGTGAGGGCAAAGGCTCCCGCACTTGGTTTAGGGTTTAGGGTTTAGGGTTTAGGGTTTAGTGCTTAGGGTTTAGGGGTTAGGGTTTAGGGCTTGGGGCTTAGGGTTTAGGGTTTAGGTTTAGGTTTAGGGTTTAGGGTTCGGTGGGTTGGACGTGATGATGGGTGTCGGCTGCTTTCCCAAATTTGAACACAGGTTCAGGGGTTTCTTGGAATCCGAAACCAAGGGCCCAGGCTTCAAGGAATCCCTCCAAACCCCCTGAAGGTGCAGGAGCTTCAACCCCACACCCTAAACTCAAAAGGCACGACTAACCTTGAACCTCAAACCCTCGGCCCTTGGCCACAGGTCCCTTCAAAGATTTGCGCCAGCACCTTCTTGAGGCATCAAAGCTGTACACAGGGTTTTGGAGGGTCATGGGCCCTAAACCCTAAACCCTAAACCCTAAACCCTAGAGTGTTTTGGAGTTTTCTAGGGCATGTGGAGGTTGTTAAGGGAAGGCTTTTCTGGGCAGGCTGTTGCTTTGGGCAGGGGAATTTTTGTGACACCTGGCTCGTAGGGATTGTGCTTCACTATAGGCGCTTGCCGCATCTCATGCGGCTTGGGGAGAGTTCGAAGCTTGCAACCTGTGCGTGACTTGAACGCAGATGTTGAGGTCCGATATGCTGCGCCACTGTCATGTGGGAAGCTGGGAAGTCGAACTAACTTTCCCAAGTCTCATGAAACCTGAAACCGATTCCGAAGCACACCACCATCACCTAACGCCTCCCCTGAACCTAAAGCCTAAAACCTAAACCCTAAACCCTACTTGGAGGAACACCACTTCCAAGCCCGTCGCCACCTGCCGAAGCGCAAGCGCTTCTGCACATCCAGCTCCTGCCCGGTTCAAGCTTCATGGGTGGGGTTCGTAGGGTTTAGGGTTTGGGGTTTAGGGTTTGGGGTTGGGGTTTGGGGTTTAGGGTTTATAGGGTTTAGGGTTTCTAGGGCTTAGGGCTTAGGGTTTTGGTGTGTCCTTCAGGGCTTGAGTAGGGCTCAGGGGGTGTATGGCAGTGTATGGTTGAGGGTGTAGGGTCTACACTGTGGCGTTTTTTTGTGTACGTTTCAGTGGTTCAGAGTGCTGGAGACCCATGTGCCGGCTTAGCTCTTAGGAGGAATGAGTACTTGGTGTTCTTCTAACCCCTCAGCCCTGCTCCTAAATCCGGGACCCCGAAAACTCCAAAACCGCATACATCGCAGGCCGTTCAGAGCGGGGCCCCTAAACCCTAAACCGTAAACCCCAAACCCCAAACCCTAAACCCAAACCCCAAACCCCAAACCCTAAACCCTAAGCCTAAACCTTTAACCCTAACCCTAAAACCCTCTGATAGAGTTGGGGGCCTTGTAAATCCTACACCATACATTTGGGGCTCGCGCTGGATTTGAGGTACCCTGGTCCAGAGGCGAAGGAGCCTTGGGGGTGTCAAGGTTGGATTTACGATCTAGGGCGTCTAGGGTTTAGGGTTTAGGGTTTAGGGTCTAGAGTTTTTTCAGGATTTCAGACCAGGGGGTATGCTGCGATCCTTCACCAGCTTTAAGGGGGGGGGGGGGGGGGGTTTCAGCGATTGTTTGTTCTTAGTTAGGCCTATCCCCTGTGCCTCCATTCCTAGACCCCAAAGGCTTATATTAGAAGCCCTAAATCCTGACGGCATTAGGGTTTAGGGTCTATAGGGTTTATTTAGGGTTTAGGGTCTTGCGAGAGGAGTGGGGGCATTTGGTGACCCTTGCCGGTGGAAGACACCTGGCATGTGGCGCGCTTGGTACGGGGGTCGTGATCCACTCTGTGCCCTGAACTCATCCAGTCAGAAGCAGCTTCCCCCCCCCTTTAGCATGCCCCGATAACCCTAAACCCTAAACTAACCCTAAACCCTGAACCCTTAACCCTCTATTCCTTCAGGATCGACATGATGTCGGAGGTTTCGTGTTCAGGTAAGATACATAAGTACATCAATAATATAACCCTAAGGGTCCATGTACCTTATCATTATATACTTAAGTACTTTAAGGCCGAAGTATTCCCTATGGACCCTTAGGATCATATAAAAGAAAGTATTACACGGACACCGTGCCTTGCTGAGCCAAAGGTTTGGTTGGTTTCCAGCCAGACATTTCGAGGACCGCCTCGCTTTTGAATGAAGGTTCTGAAGTGTTTTTGTTTTGTCCTGAAGGTTGGGATGTTCCCCATAACAGTCCTTCATAGCAAGGACTGGTAGTATAGGACATCCCAACCTGAAAGGCTTAGCAAGCTTAGACTTTTTTTGGTGTTGAGCACTCCTCAGTCACTGTGGGGTTTAGGGTTTAGGGGTTGAGGTTTAGGGTTTAGGGTTTAGGGTTTAGGGTTTAGTTACCTCCGGAGCGTGTCAGGAGTTCCGGTTCAGGTGCAGAGAATCTTCGCAGGTTCCGATCGGAGAAGCCCTGCAAGAGCCCTTACAGTAGGAGGCGGCAGGGTTTAGGATTTAGGGTTTATAGGGTTTAGGGTTTAGGGTTCAGGATTTAATTAGGGTTTAGGGTTTAGGGTTTAGGGTTTAGGGTTTAGGGTTTAGGGTTTAGGGTTTAGGGTTTAGGGTTTATTAGGGTTTAGGGACCCCGAAGCCCCAGACCCAAAACCCTCAGATGAATGCAGCAATGCCCATGGGATCTGACAGGAAGGCTCGTCTTGGATTTTGGAGTTGAGGAGGTCGGGGTTCCCTACTTGGAGGGTTCATGGTACTTAGTGACCCAATTATAACTGTACTTAAAACTAAATCATAGCCCTCTTCGGGCACTTAAGGGGCTGGCTTATAAGTGTGATATATCTACACTTCTAAGAATTAATTAAATTGGGTTACTAGGTACCCTGAATCTCCAAGTACGGGTGTTTCTAGGGTCTAGGGTGTGTACGGTTTCGGGCTTTAAGACCCTAAAGCCTCAAACCCTAAACCCTAAACCCTACACCCTAAACCCTAAACGCGGCTTCATTGGGCCTCTTCCGGCAGGACCCACGCCTTCGTCTCGGTCTTCTCCGTAGACCGCTCCTTGGTGGCATATTTCATGGGTTTCCCTACTACCCCCCTCTATACTACCCCGGTTCCCCTCTTAAATAGCCTGAATTAGGCTTGGTTATCCCTGAATAGCCCCTAGAAGAGCAGTGTAGTGGGTGGTAGTAGGGAGCCCATGCATCGCAAGGGATTTCGTTCTGAGCCCGAAACCCTAAACCCTAAACTCTAAACCCTAAGCGCGTGGAATAGGAGCGACGTGCACTCAGGGGACGCCGCCCCCATCGGCCCCGTGACGGTTGAGATCCGGGCGCCCGATAGTGCGGCTGCAGCTTGCTCAGCGGCTTTGGGTTTTGGGTTTAGGGTTCAGGGTTCAGGGTTCAGGGTTCAGGGTTTAGGGTTTAGGGTTTAGGGTTTAGGGTTTAGGGTGCTTAGGGGGTTTTGGGTTTAGGGTTCAGCTACTTGCAGGTTGCACCAGGGTGTAAGTAGGGCAGCTGCAGTTGAAACAAAACCCTAAACACTAAGCCCTGTAACCCCTAAACTCTATACAAACCCGAAACCCCAAACCCTACCAATATCCGGAAACCCTAAACCCTAAACCCTAAACCCTAAACCCTAAACCCTAAACCCTAAACCCTAAACCCCAAACCCTAAACCCTGGGGGGGGGGGGGGTGGGCAGCTTCGGAGTCCTTCGAACAATCCTGACCCTGAGCTCGCAAAGCCTGAGCCCTACGCTCTTCCAACCCCCAGCCCAGTAGCATACAAGCCTCCTGAACCCTAAACCCCAAACCCCAAACCCCAAACCCCAAACCCTAAACCCTAAACCCCAAACCCTAAACCCTAAACCCGAAACCCTAAACCCTAAACCCGAAACCCTAAACCCTAAACCCCAAACCCTAAACCCTAAACCCTAAACCCGAAACCCTAAACCCTAAACCCTAAACCCGAAACCCTAAACCCTAAACCCTAAACCCGAATGCACCTGCAAGAGGCAGCGTTCATGACCGCCTCCAAGTTTACCTGGAAGCAGGCGGGCTGTTTTCCGACCCGAGAGCCCCTAAAACTCTAAGACCCCCGATACTGAAGACCCGGGTTTTTTAGGGTTTTTTAGGGTTTTTAGGGTTTTTAGGGTTTTTAGGGTTTTTAGGGTTTTTTAGGGTTTTTAGGGCCCCTATCACCCTAAACCATAAACCCCTAAGCCCTCAAACCCTAAACCCTTAGCCCTAATTCTCGGCCCTAGCGTTCAGGGGGGTGGGGGTGCCTGACTCTAAGGACGACGACAATGGTACCCTTCTTCCCTTTCTGAAGGGTAAGGATTCCTTTTTGAGCTTGATTCATCAACAACTGGTAGCCTGCTTTCCTCCTATGGTTTTGGAGGAGGGGATGGGGCCTTTCAGCTTGAGGGAACACTTGAGGGTTCACGGGAACCCCAGCGGCTCAGTGCAAACCCCGCAGTTTTGCATTTCTGGTATTATTAGGTCCCTGGGAGTATAGGGCTTACTACAAAGATAAAAGGGGTGCCCTTCTTGGAGGGCTCCGATAGTGATCAGGAGAGGCCCACAGGACGGAACTGACCCGCAGGGACCCTGACACAAAGCAGAGCTGGCTTTTCGGGGTTTTCAACGCGTGACAGTCGAAACTCGAAGAAACCCAGCGAAAAAAGAGCTCTGTATGCTGGCAAACCCTAAACCCTAAACCCTAACCCTCAACCCTTTTAAAGGCAGAAGCCTGCAGGTGCCACGGCACACAGTGGACCTGGAGCCCGTTTGCGGCTTCTTTCCAGTGCGACTCTTCACGCCCAGGCCATCGTGTTCTGTTCAGGGTACCGTTTTGGGGTTTAGGGTTTAGGAGGTCTGAAAATAGTAGAGAACCAACACCAAAAAGCCCTAAACCCTTTAACCCTATAGAAACCCTAAACGCCAAACCCTCAACCCTGAACCCTAACCTGCGGGTTGAGAGATGGGTCCTAAACCGGTCCTAAGCGCTTCCCGGGTAATATAGGGGTCGGAATTATCAGTAATATCATTACCTTACTGCCCTTAATCATTGTTGTATAGTAACCCCCCATGACCCTCTTTAAGGC